AACCGGAAACAGAACTCTTTACATGTCGACACTTCCTAGTTCCAACCAGTGCGGTGGGAGAGCAGTTCAGTTTGGAGGGCAGAACCGAACAGAAAAGTTGCTGGAGAGAACAGGAGGTTCCAGACATGATCCGAAGTTCTTCCGAGTCTTGTGGGAATTATGGAATCTTCCACATCTGAGTGGAGCCTCTGACTGGTCCTGGGTTCAAACCCCAGCATCACCAAGTGAGAGTTTGAAATCTTTGGATTTTGTCGGGTGGCACAGTGGCACACCTGAGCTGTTCACATTGTGCATCTATGAGTTTTCTCTGGATACTCCTATTTCTTCCCACAGACCAAAAATCATCCCAGTTAGGTTAATTGGTAACTCCAAAATGTCCCTAAGTGTGAGTGAAAGTGAAAAGTTGTTTATTGTGGAGGCCTTGGGATAGACTTACGACATGTCCACCTCTCACAGTGACTGCTGGACACGGGCACCAGCAAACCATGTGACCCAAAAATGAAAAAGTGGGTAAAGATAATGGATGTATGAATGGATAAATAAAAAGAGTATATGCTCAAACTTTTTCATAATGCCAATTTATGAGTGCTTCAGAGCATTTTTGTACATTATATGGTGACCTTTGGATGCATTGATGCAAGTGAGGAGATCTTGAGTCTTCTATAAGATCGTTGTCATGTTTACTTTTTCAAATCCTATTTGGTGGAATGCTTTTGTTGTCTTTACACAGAAACAGGAGAAAGCACTTAAAAAGCTCTAAATGTGTGGTTGATTTTTCAGTGTAAAAATACAAGGCTGTCACATCTGACATCAACACCTTCTTCTTCTTCTGTTCACTCTATAGGAGTCTCCACAGTGAGTCATCCTCCTCCATCTCACTCTGTCCTCACTCCAACTACCTTCATGTCCTCTCTATCTACATCCATATAGCTCCTCCTTTGCTTTGCTCTTTTGTATTTTTTCCTGGCAGCTGCATTTCTAACATCCTTCTACCAATATACCCACTGTCCCTCCTCTGGACATGTCCACACCATCTCAGCCTGACCTCTCTAAGTTTACCTCCCAGTTCAACCTGTGCTGTACCTCTGATGATCTCATTCCTAATCTTATCCATCCTTGTCAGTAAGGAGAACCTCACCATCTTCAGTTCTGCTACTTCCAGTTCTTTCTCCTGTCTTTTTGTCAATGCAACTGTCTCCAGACCATACAACATAGCTGGTCTCACAACTGTCTTGTAAATGTTTTATTTGACCTTTGCTGACACCTTTTTTCATAAATCTCTCTCAAAATTTTTCTCCATCCACTCCATCCTGCCAGACTCTCTCTTTCACTTCTTTACCACACTCCCCATTACCCTGGACAGTGGACCCCAAGTAATTGAAGTCCTGCACCTTTGTGACCTCTGCTCCTTGTAGCCTCACTGTACCACCAGCCCCCTCTCATTCACACACCTGTACTCGTCTTATAAGGCTGACTTTCATTTATCTTCTTTCAAGTGCATACCTCCACCTCTCCAAGTTCTCTTCCACCTGCTCCCTGTTCTCACCACAGATCACAGTGTCATCTGCAAACATCATCGTCCATGGGGATTCCTGCCTGACCTCATCTGTTAGTCGGTACATCACTAGAACAAACAAGAAGGGGCTCAGAGCCGATCCTTGATGCACTCCCACCTCCACCTCGAAGCTATCTGTCACTCCTGCAGCACATCTCACCACTGTCCTGTTGTCCTCATACATGAATCTTGTTGTCCTATACCAGTTTAACATACTTCTTTGCCACTCCAGATTTCCTAATGCAATACCACACCTCCTCCCTCGGCACCCTGTCATATGCTTTTTCTAAATCCACAAATACACCATGATGTTATTTCTGACATTAACCTTTTCAATAATATTTAAAAACTACCTATGTCCTTTATTTATGAATGGTTTGACTCATCTCTGCAACTAAATGATCAATTGTTTCAATACCTCAGATTACGATAAGCACATTTGAAAATAGGATGTTTTTCTTTTACTTTTATTGTTTTAAAACCATCGATAGAAACACGGTTTTATTAAAGAAACCAGACACAGGAATGTTGAAAATCTTACAATGTGTATAATTGACACAATATTGCAGGTACAACAGCAAATGAGACATTTTTCAAATTTTCTAATCTTCCCTGGTACCATCAAAATAGTCCCAACATGTTTCCAATCAGAATACAACCAAAGTAAATCAAAACAAGAAAAAAAAAAAGTTTCCTCATAAATTGGTACCATTCAGATATGACCCATATGCTAAACTGAGTATGCGTGAAGAAGTTGTTTTTTAATGGATGGATAATAAGCTTTGCATGACATTAATGAATGATGGCAGGGTGAAGAAATGCACACCGACTTCAGATCAGTGTGATCCTATATTCTGTTTTTTCTCACACATAGGAGCTTTAAGTTTACACTCTTTCCCCATCCTCAAACAAGAGTTGTCTTGGTGGGCCACATCTATCTGCATACATACATCCCCGATCAATAGTCGTTTCAGGAAGGTGTTGACTATCATCGATCGACCATCTTGTGATGTCTTTGTGTGGACACTTCCATTTAGTGGCCTCATAAAAGTGCAAGGATGGTAAATGTAGGAGAGGGAATATAAAAAAACCCCCAATTTAATGAGTTTAGAAAGTGAAGGAGGAATGGGCTTGTGCAAATTTTAGCCGATGACATTGTGAGGCAGTTTCTGAAACTGAAGCTGTCACTCTAAAGTCTCCGGTCATCTTTGAGCAGGAAGGTCGCCATCGCAGTCCAAGTGGTTTCTGATTATTTTCGTGTTTGCAAGAACTTTCACGTATATTTTCTAATTTGTCTAAAGTATGCCAAAAAGACCCACGTAGCTCAGTGACTAATTAATTGAGAAGCTTTGTTTAACCGTGTCATTTTAATTCCCATCAAAAACAATAAATACTCTCATACCTCAGTATTTTTATTGACCCTAAAGTGTCAAAGGCAGTCACAGGCAGATATCTTAACCAGGGACGAAAACAGAGACTGACACAAACACAGAAACAACTCGTTCATTAATAAAGCATATTAAAAAAGAAAGTACCATCGAAGATGTGTCATCTAACATGCACATAGAAATTAAACAAAAATAAAATAAGGAACTAAGCAAGTATTTTATGGATGTACTTTTCAAACAGAGCCACCAATTGATTTGCAGGTTGTTGTTTTTTTACCTGCCCAGGTAAATTTAGACACATTTCTGGAACAGTAACACTTGTGGATTGTCCAAGTGCACAACTGAAGCAATGGCAGATTTTAAAATCATATCGGCTGGACTCCTCAGTATTATTTCTAACTGTCTGATCCAGTTCTGACAGCACACACCATTAACTCAGATTGGAAGTTATTCCAGTGGCAGTTTGAGATATTGAAAAATGTGCTGTATTAATCTTGTATTGCTGTCAGTTTAATAGCTATCTGTCATACATTTAGTCTAACACATTTGAAAAAAACAAATGATTTTAGTGCCAATCTAAGGTTTACAAAAGCTCTATAATTTGTTCACCTTTGCCCTGTAAGTCACAGACGCACACTTTTATGCACAAACTCATACAAACAAGCATGACTCATTCGCTTAACCTGCACAGAAATTCTTTAAAACAAGAGCTCTGACATTTCTTTTAATTAAAATGTGGCACGGTTTTTCTGAGCGTTATTATACATCTCCCACACACGCAAAAAAAAAAAAAAAAAAAAACATTCCCAGGAAGGTTGATACATAATGAAGCACTGTGTCATTGTCATATTGTCTTGCCATTATAAAGAGCACACTAAAGGTCGTTAGAACCGAAGAGTGGGAAGAAAAGTGGGAACTGAGAGGCACTCGTATAGAAAAGGTGCAGCTAAAGAAATAGATCCTCTGACAGATGATGAAAGAATTACATAGGGGCATGCGACGGTGTTCCATTTTATAACGTTGGAGAGTCGATAGATATTTTCCATCCAAGAAGGTAAAAAAAACAAACAATTTGTACACTGTTTGGTTTGTTATTGGCATAGTAGTTTGTTTTAAAGATGCACATGATTTGGCGTTTTAATATTCATTTTTGCTACAATATAACAAACTAAGACTGTGATACTGCTGTTCCGAAGAAAACAAGAAAGGAAACTAAAGTAATGTGTTCTATATTTTTGATTTTCACTCCAGGATGTTCTGTTCTGTTACAAGTTTGTCATCTGAGACTCATCCTTCAGAGTATGTGCTGTACTCACGCCAGAATCAAAGACGATTCTATACTGCCGGCAGAGAAGCAATAATGATGGAGGGCTACAGTGCGGTGGGATCAGGTGGGAGCAGTCTAAGGATGGATGGATAGCACACATCACCCTGGCTTTGAAGGAATATGTCTATGTGAACTTAATGATGACTTTTATTGCAGCTTACAAGATGCAGAAAGTGCTGACGGGCTGTGCTCTCAACCTCGTTGTAATAACTGTAAATCAAAGTGCTAATGGGTCATGCAGTCCAGATTTTACTTCTTTAAACAAATCATTACATCTTTTTGTTCCAGGCGGTGTATGCTTGTTTTGTTTAAGGATGTGGCGGTCTGATTCATTCAATTAGTGCTCTGCTGACAAATGCTAATAAATAAATAATTTCTACAAAATATAAGTGAAATTCAAATATGCATACGAGGGCAACTGCATTCTGCATTTTTCTGTAGTGTCACGATCAACACGTTGTTAGAAATGTACTTTTTTTTGTGTGTTTTAGGTGCAAATGTAATTTCATAGAACCCAAATACAAGAAACAAAACGTTAGAAGATGCAGCTCTAACCGTGTCATTCAATAGCAACGAACAAAGGACAAGAGAAGAACGAAAACATCGATGAATACTTGTGAATCCAAATCCAAAGAATGTCCACCTGTAATTTGTTGTTGTTGTAGTTTCTAAATCCACTTACATTTGGCAAAGTAACTAACACCCAGCTTCTCATCCTGCCCTGATTTCTAAACCTTTTCATTTCCTCAACTTATCTAACTTAGTCCCAGTTACACGATTCTCTCTTCAATTATCGCTGGAGCAGCAAAATGAGCAGTGAAAGTAGGTGAGTGATGACAGAAGAAAGGTTCTGCTGGGCTGAGCCTTTCACTTTCTCGTTTTCTGGTGGGTAGATATAAAGAGTGGGCCGGTCACTGATGGGGATGATGATGCGTGGTCCTCGGGAGCACGTTTCATCTGCACATGTACCACTTCCTGATCCGCTGACATCATCACCTACAAAATTACAATAAAGACATGAACTTCATTGTAAATGTATATATTTTTTATTAGTTTTTTGTGCACACACACACTTTATGATTATGAGTGTGATAGCTTCCCAACTGTAAAATGCAACATATTTGTTTTACCTTTTTGCTATGCCTGAAATTACAAATAGCAATAATAAGGACTAACATTATTTTGTTCACTTGCACTGATTTGTCTGATTTTATTCTGATTGTCTTTTATAACATTGATATGTGTTGAAAACCTCTTGGGTTGTTAACTTAAAACAAGACCTACAATACTCTGCAAATGTACTGCCAAGATATGAAGAAAGCAGAGATGTGGAAGAGAAAAGTAAATAAAAAAATAACAGACAAAAACGTTTCTACAGCAGATAGATTGGATCTAAAACATAATTTTAGGAAATATTTTAAAAACTAAACAGTTAATAGCTCTCTAGGATTCACACGGTTGATACTAAAATACAATTATATGCATTGGACTGTGTTATCTTTGACAATTTTATACAAATAGAAAATACAAATAGTATATTTTTATAACAGACTGCTATTAACAAAATGAAAACAATTGAATTGGTTCATTGTTAAGGTTTTATCTTATGTATCATTGCAGCACTAATTCATTTCTTAACATTAGAAGCTTTTGATGATTTAATGATTCAGAGTTGAACACAATCAGCAGCGGTACGCTGAAAGATTTCTAAAGTGAATGAAGTTTTTGAAATGAGTGTTGTTCTAGACTAGAACTGAACAAGTAATGCAATTCAAATACATTTGTTTTTGTTGCAACATAATAAAGTAGGGAGGAGTTAAACTAATAAGACTAATAAGAATATAGTTTATTTATTTATTTTTGTCTGAGGTGGCAGAGAGTGACGGATCCTGGTGAGTAGAGGGATCCATTTGATCCACCATCAGGTGCAATGGTGGAGCCAGGGGTTTTCCAGTGGTGACCCTGGTCACCATAAATTAATCTTTGGCCACCCCACTGGCCACCCCAATCATTTGAAGAAACTATACTTTTAAGCAAAATAAAAACTAGAAAGCATTTTCTCAAACAAAAGGGGTGGCCAATATACATATATATATATGAAGGTGACCATCTTGGGTTTTGACATAGTGACTCGGTTTTCAAAAGGATCCTTTCTCACGCCTAGATGCACCCACACACTAAAATAGAAGTCTGTTCTTCACTTATTTTTCAAGTTATTGCACTCACAACATTAAAAGACGGACAGACAGAGGGCATTTCTAATTCCCCCTTTTTGCTACATGAGAGACAAAACATGGACAAGTACAAAAATGAAAATGAGTAAAAAAAAATTCAATGTCCAAACAACTTCAACAGACCTCCATACAGTTTACAAAAAACTTTTCTAAACATCACTTTAAAATATTACAAGACAGTCTGCTTCCTTGGAAAAAAACTTTTTTTTTTAAAGGGTTTGATTTGACTTTTACGCTGCTTAGACTTGTTTATGAAAATTCAGTGACCTTTTGTGTTTTAAACTACTCACTTGTGTCCTGAAAGTCCACATCATAGCCATTGAGAGCATTCTTCAAGCGGTGGGTCATGATCTTTAGCTGCATGATTTGTCGACGTATCATCATGTCCGGTTTTGTGATGTCAATTTCCACTTCGGGATTGTTGATCTGACTGGCTAGACCATCGCCCATCACGTCGGGGAGATACCTGGTCCACATAAACACTTGATTAGCCAACAATTTTTATTATTTTGTTTTCCATAATTTCATTACAGCGAGCCAATTTCTCTGACTATTAAGCAAGAGGTGGTTGCACGGACAACACAACATCCAATGCCTTTGCTTCATTTTGTGGTAAAAGTACAAAAATCAACATCCACACTGAAGTGCATGTGATTGTAAAAATTGTTGCCTGTACAAATTAAATGGAGATTCATGAATATGTGTGATTTGGTGAATATGTGTTTACTGTTATCCTTATTCAGTGTTGAACAATGATGGGAAAAAAATATGGTAACTAACTGTTGATAATTCAAATGCACGTTGACAACATGCATGACAATATGCCTTCACCCATGGTTGTAGTTAAAACCCCTTAAAATGGTTATAACAAGTTCTTACAGTTCATTAGGTAGGTTACCAAAATAAAATTGCAATGAAAACAGTCATTTGAACTTGCTTTAATCTAAAGTAATCAATGTGGAAAACTAAATACAAGGATTGATACTGAGTTTATACATGAATATCCTTCCAAAAATAATTTATTTTGCTACTGTAGCACACCAGATAAGGCTAATGGCTAAAACAACTAAAGCACACACCTACCACTACTTTTTCTTTTAGTGTGATTTAACCATAGTTTTAAACTTACCATTTAAACTTTTCTTATTTATACATTATACATCCCAGTGCAGGTCTTGCATGCATTAAAATACTACACATTTGTAACCCCTACCTGGCCCGGCTAATGCCGTTCCAGCACTTATCCTCAGCCCCTGCACCACGTGCTGCTCTGTCGCTGCAGAAAATCCTCGGTAGAGAAATCCAGTATGATCGCATGTCTTTCAGTCTTGTGGTGACATTAGACAGCTAGAAGGCAGAATTCATGAGAGTTAATTTATAATGACATCAACAATATGACACATTTCAACAACAGTAAAGCACTGTTGCTTCCGTGCTCACTCATCTCTACTCTAATCGCACAGTTGTCTCAGCAAATGTGATATAACCCATTGTCCTACCTGAGCCACTTGCAGAAATGGGTCACATAGGACAGCAAAGAGAAACAAAAGGAATGGTGTGTAAATACTAACCAGCTTTGACATTTTGCTTGAGCTCCCTCCCAACCTGTCCTCCACTGTGACCCTTCCACTCTTCATAATCTCCTCAACTCCGGAGCTGCCGGATCCTTCTTTCCTCAGGTTGCCACAAGCCGGAAAGACCTATAGGAAACCGTGATTGAAGAGAAGTTAAAGACAAGACATGATTAGAGTGACAAATTAGTAAAACAAACAAAAGAAAAAAATACAAATGTAAGAAGTAAGAAAGACATTTTAGCATTTGCATTTTGTATGACCCAAAAAGACAACCTCGGCATCATATTAGTAGACAGACTTATAACTATGAGTATTAATAGTCCCTATGAGCGTTACAGAATATAAATGGTGTAAAGGGAATACTGTGAACGGTACAGTCTGTCATTTAATCTGCCCTACTTAAAGGAGCATAAACTCACTGAACCCTCACACACGAGTAAAAAAAAATAATCCTGTGTTCATTTCCGTTTAATGCTCTTTAGTGTATCTGAAATCTGTCGGCGTCAGGGTTTATATGCGATCAAGTGATGGTGAATATTTTTTATAAACACATAGTAGTTCTATTTTTGGAATACAGTACACAAAACATAAAATGCATGTTTTGGATTTCTGGTCAATAGATTAAATAAAACACAAGTAGTCTTTGAAAACCAATTGATACCCTTGTCATCTTTATATCACTCTTCATAAGGAGTGATTTGCTGTTTGAAGTTGTGTGATAACCATGTTGAACCAGGGGACAGGTGGCCCAGGATCATGTCAAACTAACCAGAATCACTGACACATCTGCACAGATTTGTCTTTCTTCTTGTTATTCCAGCCTCACTTAACAGCTCAGTCACTTTTTTTTTTTTTTTACTGCTGCCTTTTGCTATTAGGGACAATAAAACTGTTACTCAAATGCCAGTGAAATAAAAGCTTGGCCTTGAGACACAGTGATGACTCACTTCCTTTCATTTAAAACTATCTGGAGCCTTAGAAAAGCTTTAATGCACTTGAAAGATTGGTGTTAATCCTATAAACAGAAAAAGAAAAGAAAAAAGCCAAATGAGAAAAAAGAATCTTGAAACACTGAGAATAAAGCTTTTTATCTCTATTCCATTCCATTTAGAAAAAAATACATTAAACATTTTAAAACCCTTGGACATAAAATTCAATCACTTCTCATTTATGTTAATTATTTAGGATTAAATATCTATCAGATCGTACCTACAATGAGATCTTAGTCCCCAAAGTGGATACAAAGTACACCTTTTATTCATTAAACATCACACAGCACATTGAGAAATGCTCAAACCTCAAATATTACTTGTAAAAATAAAAATAAAATTAAAGTATTGATAGAAGAAAAAGAAGCTCCAACTGAATTCCTGAACGCAAGAGACAGAACAAGATAACAGGTTTTCAGGACATTTTGAAAAACACTGCAATTACTTTTATGAAAAAAAAAAAATCTTCTGATTTAAAGTTGATTTGTTTTCATAATGCAGAAATAAAAAAAAATTAAGATGCAGCTGAAACTGATGCATGACTAAAACATTTTCATAACTGCAGAAAATAAAGAAAAAAAACTGATAAAGACATGTATTCACTACATGTTACATGTTGTTTGTAGATCAGGACACTAAATTTTACTAGAAAATATGTCAATTTTACATAAAGTACCTATTTAAAAATGTTAATCTGTTGATACTTGAGGCTGTCATGTGTGTGTGTGTGGACCAGTGTGTAATCTGACCTTGCTGTTGATGGTGCCAATGTTCTCCATCATGGTGAACATGGCTTCTGATATGCGATTTGGGAGGGAAAGGATCACACTATCCATGTCTTCCAAGCGATTCTTCGCCACCTCGATCATTGTATCTACAAAAGCACAGCAACACAGTGAGGGTGAACCAGGCAGGGACCATTTCACACAGAGTGAACTTCAGTATTTATTTTCATTGCATGTAGAGTTGAAAGCTTTGAGAAAACACAATCACTGATTAACAATAGCTGACCAGTAAATTAGTGGGTTTGCACATGAACTGGGGCTGTGTGGAGTACATCAGAACAGTCAGTATTTCACAGTCGACAGTGCTCAGAGCATTTGAAGTGTCGGGGAGAAGTTCTCATGAAGCAGCTAGCAGCTAATCTGAGCAGGACTCAACCAAGAAGAAATCTCTGCCATTTAAAAACAGTTCATATTCAAAACGTTTCTGCCAGTTCAAGTAGATGAATGAAACAGGCATGTGCTATTTTTATTTTTTTCTTTAATATAATTTATGTATGAGTCAGATTAGACATCAAAATACTTATTTATTAGAGAAATCCTGGCAGAGTCAGATGAATGTGATGTTTAGCTGCCACCTTGGACCCGATCAGCGTGGCTAAACAAAATTTGTTGGACATCAAAATCGCCAAACTTTTTTTTTTTTTTTTTCCACATAAAAACATTTAAGTGTAAACTATTTAATACAGTATAAGCTCAAACATCACAAAACATTTTAATTTTGAGCTATTCGTCCACTTTAAGTAGCGGTTATCTGGTCAAGAGTCACCAATGAGAACATCTCTGATTCTCCAAGATGAAGATATCTACTGCAGGTAAAATACTGACTGCTCATAAATACTAACTGCTCTTCAAGAAAAAAATAAAACAAATACACCAATCACTTTAATCTATGTTTGAACATGTTTGTGCCTCAACCTGCTAGACGGGTCCATTCAGGGTTGAGGTCAGCATGGTTGGCTAGACAGCCCTTCATGACGTTGTGGCAGTAGTTGGCACACGGCTGAGCAAAGACCATGCCATGACAGTGGGGACAGTAGGTCATCTTCATGATGGCTTTCTTGCAGTCCTTGCTTAGCTGAACCTTAGGTAAGACACAGGAAAAAGTTAACCTACAGTATACTTTGAAAAAAAAAAGTTCTATTGTGTAGGTTTTGAACAAATTGATCCCTTATTTGTTTGTTTTAAGTCTTGTTGTATGAGACCTTGGGCTTCATGAAAGTGTTCAATTTGAAAAAGAGTGTATTTCTCAGCTGAGGTGAAAACACCCACAGATCAGTGGGAAGTCACCTCCTATGCTGACCTTTTAGTTTTCACCAGACTTTCTTATAGCACCGTTTCCTTGGAAACCACTAAAGAAGAAAAAACAAAAAAAAAAACTTTTTATTTTACATGTGATAAAAAGATCCAGACACTGATATGAATATTCCAAGTTACTCGCTCTGTTCTCCTCATTTCTTCCGTTTCTCTCCATATTCCAGGCTGCTCCCAAAGGGAAAAAAGGCCTTCGTGCGTGAAAAGTGAAACTGGGTTAATACCAGTAAGCTGTGTTCACAAGAGGGAACAGCTATGCATACAAAACCTCAAGAAGTATGGGGTGTGTATCTGCAAAAAAGCAGGAGAGCGATGGAACAAGCCCAGCTACGCATACAAAACTCTTCTAAGCTGACATCTGGGCCAGCTTGACGCTTTTCCTGAAAACTCCTCCTCAAACAACATAGTTGCAGTTAAAACCAGATTTGGGTAAATATACAATGAACAAAGGGTAACAACAGTGATGTAATAGGAAGACAAGATAGGGATACTTTCAACATTGTGCAAACATGTCACTTATGACAGAAGTCTAAACTTATAAAAAGTTTATTTGTATATTAAATATTATGCCATTTTAGTTTGCATCTCTTTAAAAATACCTTATTCATGCAAAAAAAAAAAAGAAGTCAGTTTTGAAGTGAGGCAAATGACAGAGAAAGAAAATCACATTCCCAAGGTAGATTTTGACATAAAAGTCAGAAGCGCATGCCTCTACTTCTTTTCTCCATTCCTTCAATCAATACCTCAACACTCATTAGCTAGAGGTGAGTCAGATGATTGCTTTTTATTGAAACAGTAAGAAAAAAAAAAGGAGTGTACAGTTGGGAGACTGAAAATGAGAGAGGACAGCACATTGAAGCTTCAAACCCCATGGTTACATTAATTAAAGTCTTAATAAAAACAGACTAACAGTAACCAGTTTCCTATTACATTATCTGCAAAAGAAGAACCCATTAAAGTTTGTTGTGGATTTGGATCGCCTTCAATAAAATGGTTAAGCACAAAAAAGGGAACGGGTGCCTATAAAACTGCCTGTTGAAAATCTTTCTGACTTAACAAAGGCAACACAGTAAGATGAGGAAAAAAAAAAAAATCTTAGTACCCATGTACAAGTGACTGAGCACACAAACTAAAGTAGCTTAGTTTTGAACTGTAGACCACAGGGTGGCAGTATAGGCTACATTGCTTGCAATGTCCTAAGTATGGTAGAATTTATATTTTTCTTTATTACGAAAAAAAAAAAAAATATATATATATATATAATATATATATATTTTATTTATTTTCTTACTTACTTCTATTTCTAGTGTTGTGTATGATATCAATTGAAAAATCTTGAAAGATGCCATCATGCTGGCAAATATGCAAAACACACTTTTTTTTCATATTTGTAATTATTTTTACAATTTTCAATAACATTTTTCTATTCACATCTGCTTGATAAATGCAGAAGAAAACTGGCAATTGAATCCAATAACTAAATAGCTTTAGATAACTTTAAATAACTTTTTAAATTGGTTGGAAACGGTTTATTAGTTGTAGTTTTATCAATCTCACTTTAGCCTAAAGAAAAAGCTTGAATGTTTTCCTTTAAGTGTCTCTTTTTCATAGACTCAAACAAATAACATTTTAGTCTTGGCTTTTGAGCTTTTGCAGACTTTAAAGTTTTATTAAATAACCAAAGGCATAGGGAGTTTCGAATACTTACAAAGGCAAATTCCTTCATGTAAACAGTATATGCACACAAATACATACACAAACTGATCTTCTTAATATTAACTCCCAACAGATGGTAAAAGAAACTTTTAGGTTTGGAATTATTCTCTGATGATTTTTTTGGTATGACTTTTCAACAGATCTTTTGAAACCCATGCTCCTTTTTCACCTCCTCACCATTCTCTTCACACCTGTTTGTACCTTCTGACTCTATCCTTCTCTCTCTGACTTCCTGCTTGTCTTCCTTCTGTAATGAGTAAGAACGATAACGCTATATCTCCCTGTCGTGCTACAGAGACGATTTAGGCTTCTTGCTATTCAAATGAGCAATGTGACTCATGGCCTACTTCCTCTATTTCCTTTCCCATGGGAATAAAACTGTCCAGAAACAGTTCAGGACACTCTGACTGGCAACGCCTGGAGCAAAACAAGGGAGGAACGATCGCTGCGCTGGAAAGAGAGCCTGCAAGTTCTGGCTCAGATCAACTTTTCTGTCTCACTTTTGCCACGTACCACTCAATGGTTGGGTTTTTTCCCCAATACATTTTCAAAAGAAACCACGTCTTCAACTTTAACAACATGCTCTTATTTTAGAATGCGCAATAAAAAAAATACCATTTGCATTTTTGTCATCCATCCCTCCATCCATGCATCCATCCATCCATGCATCAATCCATTATCTTTACCTGCTTCTTCCTAATTGGGTCATGGGGGGTCACTGGTGCCCATGTCCAGCTATCACTGTGCGAGGGGTGGGGGACACCATGGACAGGTCTCCAGTCCATCACAGGGACACATAGAGACAAACGAGACAAACATTCACTCTCACTCACACCTAGGGACAATTTAGAGTTACCAATCAGCCTAACGTGCATGTTTTTATCTGTGGGAGGAAACTGGAGTACCCAGAGACAACTCACACATACATGGAGAGAACATGCACCCAGAAAGAGCTGGGATTTGAACCAGCAACCTTCTCGCTGAGAGGCAACAGCTCTACCAACAGAGCCACCATGCCGCCATCTTTTCTTACAATATTTGGAGCATACACACAACTTATACCGGTATTCACTTCTTAGATGCTGTTTTGTTTTAACTTCTAAATACTTGCGTTTTATGTGTCAAAAATTAATTCCACTTATTTGCACGTTGTTATCTGCAGAAGGACCTGCTGGGCCCATAGGCTGGCACAGATGACAACATTTCCACACACAGAACTTACAGCTGGTCAGATGGTTAAATGAACTGAGAATCATGACTTTAGCTCTAAAGTACCAGTTAAAACACATAAATTAATTCAAAAGTGGGAAAAATCATGCAAATACTTCCTTTGACAAATTCCTAAATTAAAGTTTGGACTATCTTGTCTAATATTTGTCATTTACCACCTTCGTTCATCTAAACCTTGTACTATTTAGCCAAAACTAATTAGAAAACACATTTTGAAGCAGCACCTCATTACTAATCTTGTGTACTGTATATTTCTAACAGTCTATTTTCTTCACTGTTCTCCTGGCACAGTGTCAGACAAGAGATACTTTTATGGGGCATCAAAGCCGAAGACCTACTTGAAACAATTTCTCAGTCTTGCAATGAATCTTAACCTCACTCTTGTCTTATGTACAGAGAGAACCATTTCTCAAGGGACATAATAAGTTTCCTGAAGCATGGGGAGGTATTTTTCAGTTTGGAGTTGACATTAACTGTTGTTGTTGGGGGCTGATTGTTCACACCACAGGCCATACTTTACAGAGCTTCTCACTTCTGTACCAGCATTAATCTGCCGCTGCTCTGTGCTTTGCATGTGGAGTGGGAAAAACAGATCTGTGTGAATGTGTGTGTGCTGAAATGTTTACATCAAAGGGAGATCAGAGAGGAGATAAAATGCATACCCTTTGGCTCAGTAATATTACAAAAAAGAGTTGCATAGACTGCACTGCAGTAAATTGGACACTAGAAGTAAAAAGAAGCATGTAAAACGAATCCAACAAAGTTCAGTCAGGTCATCTGGACATTTTTTTTTTTTTTTGTTGAGACATTTCGTCCTTCATCCAGAGGACTTCATCAGTCTGAGGAGCCACAGACTGAGTCCCACTAGCAACACCCACATAGTGGACCAACCAGTTTGCTGGTGATAAGATGGTTTCTGGGGCCCGCCTTCTCCCCCATCGACTCCTCTGACGCAGCCATAGCCAAAGTGGGTGTGCTGCTTGTGGGACTCAGTTTGTTTGTGGCTCCTCGGATTGATGAAGTCCTTTGGATGAAGGACGGAACGTCTTAAAAAAAAAGATACCAACCAGATGACCTGACTGAACTTTGTTGGGTTTTCTATCTGGATTATTGGGCATGAACTTTGAAGTAAAACTAATAATTGAAAACAGGAGACAAGGCCCATCTGTTGAAGAGGCGAGATCGTACCTGTGACACTTTGCGCACCACGTCTTCACTGATCACCAGTCCCTGAAGGAACGAACGTGCCGCCACAAACGTATGCGTGACCTCTAGCGTCATTTTACGGGGCGTGTCTCCAAAAGGTCGTAGCGTTTCAATTTGCTTTGACACACAGTCCAGGTAATCTTCACCTGTAAGTTGACAGACACATTTAATAAGAGATTTTTTTTTGGAGGAAAATTCTAATGATGCCACTAAATAATTATGTTCTGATTTTAATTTGATATAAATGATGATTTCACATCCTTTTTAAATCACTTCAAAGACACTGTCACAAATAGGAACATGCTTATGAGCCCAATTTGTCTCAGTCCACTTGATTAATTTTACTTATTTACTGGTTTTGCAAGTTAAGAAAAGTAGTTTGGAAATGAAAACCCAATCAATGTGATGTTAATCCTGTGAGCACAGTGGGAGAGTTGTGATTAGCCCATCAGAGCCACGGGAGAGTTACTGTTGCCATGTTGCTGTGAAGTGTTTTCAAGCAGTGCACTGAAACAGAGATATTTTAAATAAAGTGTGTCTGGTTTATTTTTGTGTTCCCCTGAGGCAGCTGTACTAAATCACAAGTTGAGAAAAAAAGCAAAACTGTTCTGTTTTCCATTGTTTTACTCCTAAAACCTGAAAAACAAGTATGATGTCATGGCATAACATAGACTTAAAATAGACCATGAAATTTGTCTGAACTGTAGTTTTTCAGTGATTGCTTTGCCAGCATTAAATGAATGAAATGAAATAAAAATCAGAGTACAGAAAAAAATAAAACTGTAAATGAAGTGTTGAAAAAATTGACAGTTGTGTATTTGCATATTTTACCACACAAAATCACATTTTAGCAATGAAACATTTAGCCATAATTGAACTTGCTTCATATTTTGATATTGCACAGTCTTACCTATTGAATTTGGCTTGTTTGCTGTATAAAATAGCTTCTCCATCAGCTTGATCCAAAATTCATTGAGCACCTCTTCCATGTTGACGTTGGTAGTAGAGCCTTTGTAGTAATCTGATAAATCCTGATATAGGTCGGAGAAAACCTGGGAATTCTCAAAATACACAAGGCCCCACGTTGAAGTGAAAGTTTCCTGAAGGCTAATCAGGGAGCGGTTCAGCATCTCAAGTGCGTAGCCTGAAAAACATGAAAAAAAAAAGGTTTTAAAACCATGGAAAGTGCATATGACTCTCACTGGCAGAAACCACACATGTATTATTTCACTGATTTGCTCTGCATGTGAACTTTGTGGCATTCTGGCAGTAAATCTAAAGCTGAGATATTTGACTCTACATAAAGTTCGTGTCTTCCTAGATTTATAAGAAAAATAAGAAGTCGGTACCAATAAAGACAACCGGCAAAATCAGAACTGAGAATTCAAATTATTAATCCAATTTTATTCTAAAGTTGTGTAGTTTTTATACTTGCTAGGTGAGTGATGATATAAAATGTGGTTCAATGCAAATCAAATTATAATCTTAGAAAATGGCACTGTTTTAACAGATGTTAAGGCTGAAAACATCATCATGTACAATATGAAGTCCTTGTACTGGAGTTATAAAAATTGGTAGAGGTTTAGAAAAATAAAGTACCGTACTAAGTTCACACCCAATTTACTCAAATTTTACATTGGTTTTATTCAGTAGAGAGCTTTCCAATGGTTATACTTTTGATTTTATTTTGTGGGTTATATCATGAATGAATGAGGTCTCACTGAAAGTCATTCTGCTAGGTGCATGACAGTCCAGCTCAAAAATATGTGTCCCCACTGACTTTCATGCCTGTTTTAGACTAAGATCAGCATATGTTAAGAAATGACAGAAGTATAGCCATTTTGGTTAAACCTTAAAAATAGCATCATGTAATAGCTTGCGAGGTTGCAAAATATTGCAGGTTCTTGCATCTATCAGGGGTTATTAAATATTATTATTAAAATTATTATTAAATATCACAGGTCCCCCTCCCCACACACACCAAACATAGGAGGATCTGCAGTGGACATGGTATCCAGCTACAAGTACTTGGGTGTGCGCCTGTATGACAACCTCAGCTGGAGCAACAACACCACCAGCCTGATCAAGAAAGCTCATCAGAGACTCTACTTCCTCAGGTGGATGAGACGAGCTGGTCTGGGAAGCTCAGTCCTCACCTCCTTCTACAGGTGTGCAGTGGAGAGCATCCTGTGCTCCAGTATCAATGTGTGGCATGGAGGCTGCACATAGAAAGGAAAGCTTTGCAGAGAGTGGTGAAGGCTGCACAGAAGATCGTTGGAGTCAGCCTCCCCACCATCACATACATCTACACCTCCAGATGCAGGAAGAGGGCCACCTGCATCATGAAGGATCCCACTCACCCAGCACACACACTTTTTGCCCTGTTCCCGTCGGGCAGAAGGTTGCAAAACATTAAGTGTAGAACCACTAGACTGAGGAACAGCTTCTACCCTGAATTTCTTAGACTCATAAATCCATAACCAGGATAATCACTGTAAGAAAAATAAATTAAAAAGAAGAAAAACAATCACTGTAATGACACGTTAATTGGTGATATGTGGTATCTGTGCTGCTGATTATCAATGCTGGTGATTTTATGCTGCTGATTATCTCATGCTGCTGATTATCTCATGCTGCTGTATTCATTCTAAGATATCTGCTCACCTCAGACTCATGTTCGGGCTGATGTTGTGTTGTATTGTTGTATTAGTGTTTCGCGTATATCTTAGATCTTTTAACGTACCGTTTAACATTTACTTAGCATATATCTTAATGTACATCTTAGATACTTATTTACTGTTTCTTTTTATACTTTATATTTTGCTATTTTTGAGTGTAAGTGGGACCCTGTGTACAAAATGTTGTTCCACCTCATGTACCACATGTGTTGGAAACAACAATAAAGTTGACTTGAACTTGAACTTGATTGTTTTTAGTGCATGGAGTGGGTTGTGAATAACTTTCAGCTGTACAACAAACTGAATTTGGTAACTGTAAAATGCACTAAAATATAATATTTTTTTTACATTGGCTATTTAAGACATTTAAAATTAAAACTGACTGAGTTATAGTATTTTTTGTGTTTGCTAAGATTACTTTGCTGTGGCAACCATCTTGAAGCAGACTCATTCCAAATGTTAATCAGTGGTTGATTACTTTCTGAAAATTTCAATAAAATCTTGTGAGTAATTCACAAGCTACTTTGGTAAAGACAAATTAACACATACACACATACACAGAGGTATGCAAAAGTCTTAATGCTGCTCCTTTGTCTCCAAGCAATGAGTAATATTGAAGAAAAGTAGAATTTCTTGCACAAGGAAGTTGTTGTCGTTAATATTTTTACGTTTTTTTTTTAATCTCACACAGAATCTTACATTAAAAAAATGTCATTCATTTCAATAACAGCTTCATTCTTAATAAACTGTTGAGGAAAAAGAAAGACAAGTTTTTAAGGAGTCGAAACCCAAGTATAGAAAGCATAAAGACAAATTCAGCCTTTGAGTTACATAATCCTTTGATATGCTAAGCTCACACTGACCCATCTGTGTGGTTTAATCTAAGCACCGGCCTTGTTGGTTACTGTAGCTCTCTCTGTTGCTTTCCTACTCATTAAACAGTAGCCAGCTTGTTTCACAGATGCTTTCTTCTGGCATTTCCCTCCTCTATTCAACATTTACTCACTAGACCTGTAAATTACTGTTATTCTGATGAGGTTTTTATTTTACTTACAGGCAACCACTAAATGCCATTGCACTGTTCTTTCCTATTCTTTGTTTGCTTTCCATCCAATATGAAATATATAAATTAGGTATTCTGTGTCCATGTGTTCACCAGCATTAGAAGGGTTGGTTGACTATTAACACACAATTTAGAGGCAAGGGAGGAGAATTTATTTTAGGAGGATTTAGCAGTTATTGCATATATTACAAAATAAATTAATAAATACATAAAATCTTCAATAATTTAAACAAAAAGCACTGACAATAATAAGGGTGTAATCTATACATTTATATGATATTGCGGGTTAAATACACACCTAAAGCAAGCTAAGTGAGGCATGCATGCCTTAATGACGGAAGTTAATGATTTAATTTGTAATCACTTCTGAGCTTCACATCCAGACCACCTTGACATGTCAACATTTTATTGTACTTGTCTAAGCCCGCTGCTTTTAGGCTAAACACATGTATATGCACAAGCTTAATCAAGTGCGCACAAATCCTTGTTTAGCATAAAAGTATTTTATTTATCTGTCAATGTATTTATTTATTCTGTTGTCCTCTACTGTCTCCATGTGTTTTACAAATCGACGCTAAGCTTTAAATGACATCCTTTAACTTGTCTGGTCTGTTTCTGTTGGAGTCTGTCTAACTTCGGTCTTTTCTGAGCTCTGGCCTGTGGTTTGTGTTTTTGGCATAATATTTTGTGCAAGACTAAAGTACCAGAGATATATTTCCAGCTGCCAATAGTTCTAAGTGATTATGTGGTACTTTCCCACATGAAGATAAGTACTGAATGATGCTTGTGCCACATATTTGTACACTGGGTCAGTTAGGATTTTGTTGAAGAAAATAAAAAGTTGGCAATTTAAAAAGCGTTCACAAATTGCTGTGATTACGATAAAAAGATGACTCAGAAAGAAAACAATCCAGTTATTTAATGACTTGTCTGCTCTCGCCTCACTTTCTACTCTGGTTTCTTTCAGATGAAATGTTTGCTTGGTTGTGAATAATCCAGAGTACTAAAAATACTTATTGAGATACTTGATCTAGGTTATGGACATGCCTTTATTTTGAATTATAAGATTGTTGTAACCACAAAGAAAAAGAGAAGTAGGAAACTGAATTAAATGCCAGGGTTTTAAACTAAGCCTTAAATTCACATACAATGCATTAAAACAGTTTTCTTTTCTTTTTTAAGTGAAAAACAAAAACACATTTTATTTATTTATCATGTCCTGGATGACTGAGAATCTACTCAAGAAATGTTATAAATATTCATCTATACATTCAGCAGTGAAATCAATAGAGGTGGTGCAGGGTCAGCCATGATGACTTTCTTTTGTGAATGTTTTTATCGTATGTGTCCACTTATTTAATAATCATATTGGCATGATGATTTTTTTTAAGCAATAAAGGAAAACAAATGGTAACATTTGAAAATTACTGCCTTGTCTCCCAGTAGATCCAGCACAGCTCCACTCCATACCAAAGCAGCGTCTCATGTCTTCTACATGTCACTCAATATGAACCAGGCATAAAATAAAGCGCCCATAACCTTGAAATCTCATTGAATCTCATTAAATGAAAATACATATTCATATACAGAAAAAAAAAATCCAATTTTATTAATGATTCAGACATTTGCGGTTTAAACTGCAAACAAAACAGCTAAAATAAAGATTTTGCACATAGAAGCGGAAACTCCATAAAATAAAACGGTTTGGTCACAACAAGAATACACAAACGGTATGAACACCTCAGTTTTTTTAGCTTTGTGTGGTTTTGCAAAGCAAACGAAATAAAAAAAAAGAACACAACAGGCAGAATCAAATCCTGACTTATCCTGACTAAAAGATTCTCTGGGAGCCATTAGACTTCCTCGGAGTGTGACTGAATCAAAAACACCACATCACAGACTAGGAGCACTGCAACAATCTTAGTAAAAATTTAGTTTTCATTAAAAGGTGTCTTATGTTAAACAAGTCAACACACCGCTCACCCAATCCAATTATCAGCAGGCTCTGAGTGGAAACTTTCTCTTTGTTCCTTCTCAAACATCCTCCGGCTAACATTACACACCATTTACCAATATCTGTTTCTTCTTTAATCCAGCTGGTTTCCTTTGTCAGCTTTTTCCTTTTCTTGTTTCTCTTAAAACTCACGCCACTCCTTACCCTCACTGTCATTTTAGGCTTCTTTTTTCGTTGGCTTGCTCCACTTCCATTATTTCTCAGATGGTATACCTCTCATTTACAAGTCTGAGTTTGTCATACTTTCACTTCATTTTCCAAAAAAGCCATTAGTCGTGTATTGAATTGTGTATTTGGTGAAATTAGGCCAGTGTACTCTATGTCCCCACGGAGCTGATTTGCATGCAGATAAAATAAGTCAATCAGGCACCCCTGTAGTAGCAGATGTC